TCGTCTGAGGTGCGGGTGGGCCTGCCCTTCCTGTAGCCCAAGGTACACTCATTTACACATCTGTTAAAAAGAATACCTGGCCACCCCGCTCCAGTTCACAGCCTCCCCCCTTCAGTCCCCTGGGCTCTGCTTGTCCCATTTGTCCAGCAGCTCCAGAAGCCAAGGCAAGGACAGGTTTGCAGTTGGAAGTGCTGTTACCTGTTGGGCTATCAGCACAGAACTCTTAGGCCCGAGGCGCAGCAGCTTCTCCGGAGAAGGGAAAGCCAGGAAGGTGGAGACGTCTGCGGGAGATGGCGAGGACAGCACGGGAGCCGGTTCCTGCGGGACAGAGTGCACGGGGCACTGTGAGGGTCTGAAGCGAGACCCCGCACCCAGAACATGTGCCCTTCCTCTGGCCAGTGAAGGCTCAGGGTCTAGAATTCTTCCTCCCACTTGTGTGCAGTTCTCCAACGGGTAGGGGACCCCCAGACGCTGGCCCTCGCTGGTTCCTAGTGCACAAGCCTCTGCGGTGGGGGCGAGCTACCTCCTAGGACTCCAAGAACCTGGCAAGACCAAGTGGGTCCTCGCCATGACTGGCAATGCCCCAGCAATGACTCCAGATGCACGTGGGGACTACAGTGGACCCACCAGGAAGTGGAGTGTAGCCTGAATAAGCATTGGTGGTGAGCACCAGAGGTGCCCAGAGAAAAACGAAAGACAGAAACGCCGAGCCATTTGTTGAAATGCTTCCATAAAACTGAAAAAGAAGCCAAGTTCAACATGCGTAGGGGGGGGCCTTGTCCAACCCAAAGTTCTCCAAAAGCTTTATTTGGGAACCTGCGAGGGAACAGGAATGAATGAATTAGGGACATGGCAGCCCTGACTCCACCAGCCTCCTGGTCAGATAAGGGACACCAAGGGCCCAAGCTGGGTCACAGTCTCAGCCAGTTTCTGGGATGGGGGGCTGTCCCTACAGGTCATCAAGATAAGCCACTGATGGGTGGGAAAAAGGACTTCTATTTATGTTTTTTTTTACTCTATTCTTTTATAAATACTTATGTATGTCTTATATGATACACATAATGCAGCAGCATTGCAGATAAGTACACACATCTACACTGAGGTCAATACAAATACAGATAAAATAGTTACAATGGATGATCCTTTTTCACTCACAGGAACCTAAAATCAAAAATAGTTTGTGGCCACTGGGCTTACGTGCCGCCACCCCTAACACCCCTGTGAAGATGTCTTAGGGTCTCACATTCAGGACCAGGGCTGTGATCCTGGCAAATGACGAGGAACTCACCCCACTGTTAGGATCCAGAATCTTCCTGGACAGTGTGGGGGACTCCTCTCCTTGCCCTCGCTGCTGTGGCTCGTCCTCGTCCTCGTCCTCGTCCTCCTCGTCCTCGTCCTCCTCCTCCTCCTCCTCTTCCCCGTCCTCCTCCTCATCCTCATCCTCGTCGTCCTCACCCTCGTCATCACTGCGGAGCGGAGTTGGCTAAAGCACACCCTCCCTACCCAGCGGCCCCTGCTGGCTCCAGGCCTGGCTCTGTGAACCCAGACTCGGGATCAGCTGCTCCCAGGGTGGGGGCAAGCGGGTCACAGGGAGCTTGTCACTCATTTCTCATCACCCAGGGAAGCCGAAGCTGAGCGTCAGATCTCGTCCCTCCCAAAAGAGCCCCCAGTCCCACTGGGGGTGCAGAGAAAAGGAGGAGAGCTGGCCCAGAGGGCCCAGGGTCTGGCAGGAACCCTGCCCAGGCTGAGTCGCCCACATCTTGCTGACCACAGGAAGCTACAGCTGGGGGGATGGGAGACGTGGGGGTTTCCCTGCCCCCCTGTGGAAGGCGGTTACATTTTCCCTGGACCCTGTGCCTCTCGAGCCCATCTCTGAGTCCCCAGTTCCTAGCAGCAGCACAGGCTCTTGCTCTGAGGGGACACAAATGAGTATGTGACCAGTGAATGAAGCCAACTTGGAGATCAAAGGGGCAGAGGAAGACGGGTGCTATTGGAGGAGGCAGCCTGCCGCCACCCTACCCCGCCTCCAGTGGGCTGTGCAAACCCAGGAACGCGCACCGTCTGCCTCAGTCCCTTCCTATCGAAAGTCAGTCTCTGAGTCTGATTTTAAGAACAATTCTGAGCCCACTCCCGTCGCTACCCTGCCTTACCCGTCAGCATGGGATCAAACACCATCCCTTCAGAGCTTCCTGACTCACCGCTCTACAGGGGCTTCTCTGTCCCTTTGCTGAATGTACGGACACTTGATTATTCTGGGCCCCTGCCCCACTAGAGTGAAGCCCCACGGGTCAGCAGCCTTTGCTGCCTTATTCTCATATCCCTGAGGCCTACCTGCACCGCACCTGGCACATAACAGGGCTCAACCACCCTTCTTTAATGAATAAAAGTAGGAACAAATGAGCCCGAGCGCTCCGAGTTCACTACCTGAGGGACGCCAGCACCCTGGCCATGTTGAAGCCGTCCAGCACCTCCTGGAGCTGCTCACAGCCTTCTTCTCCCAGGGTGTTGCCTGCTCACAGGGGCGGGAACGGAGGGTCAGGACGGGCACTGCGGCCTGCCCAGCAGGCCTGTGCCGAGACCACCGCCCCTACTTACCATTGAGGTCCAGTTTCTCCAGCTCGGCCTTGTCTGCCACGGCCTCAGCCACGGCCAGAGCAGCATCTCTCTTGATTTCACAGAACGACAAGTTCAGCTCCTAAAAATAAGAGGAGATAGTGGCAGGCAGAGACGTGGGCCAGGAGACCAGGTCCCACTCGGAAGCCTGTTTCCCCAAGGGAGGATGAGACAGGCTCTGCCCTCCAGCTGAGCAGAATGACACCAACAATACAAACAATGTCATTCACCCAACAATGTACCAGGTACTCCCCTCCTCTCATTTTAAAAATGAAGAAACAGCGTTTCAGAGAGGTGAAGAGGCTGGCATGTCACCAGAGAGGGAGGGTGTGGAAGAGCTCAGGTCCATGTGCCTTTGGGGTCAGACCTTCTGCCACCGCCCCCTTCACCCTCCCCCCCACCATCAAGAGTGGGGGGAGCCCCAACCCCAGACGGCACCTTCAGCTTGGGCAGGCCCCCGCGGACAGCGTCTGCAATGGCAATAGCGCCCTTGGAGCGCACCAGGCAGTCCCCGAAGTTGATCACCTCCACCTGCCGCAAGGTCTTCAGAGTCTGCCAGGAGGAAGTGAGGGCCAGGGTAAGGGTGCAGGCCTCCCCTCAGCCCTACATGAGCCAACGCCACACCCTGTCCTCTTCTGTATCCAGTCTGGCCTTCTCAGCATTTCTCACCAGCTCCCTGTTGGTTAAACCCTTCTCCACCCTATTCCCACATTACAGCCAGAGCCCTTTTCCTGAAGCGCAAATCTGACTATGTCACACCCCTGCTTAAAATCCTCCATGGCTCCCTATTACTTCCAGGAGAGTCTCAAGGAGTCAGCAAGGCCACAGGTCTTGCCTGCCTCCCTTCATCTCTTCCAGCCCTCAGTCATACCGTGAACCCTGATCACTTCAAACGAGGGCCAATTAAGCAAGGCTGCCTCTCATATCTCTGGGCCTTCCCACCTGCTGCTGATACCTCTGCCTAAAACACCCCTCCTCCCACCCTCTTTGTCCGGAGCAAGTCCACGCGCCCTATACAACTTGGCCAAAATGTGACCTCTTCCAGGAAGCCTCCCCATGTGTGATTTGAAACTTCCTGTGTGCTCCCCAACACCTGCATACGTCTCTACTATCATCACACAGCAGCAGGACTAGCCTTTTGTGGGGTCATGGAGCCCTCCCATGCCAAGGCCCCAACAGCCAGCCAGACACTGTGTGCACGGCCAGCACTGTCACCAATTAGCCACTCCCTTCCTTCCTTGAACCAGGGGCTTTTTGAACGGACAGTCTTTGACTCAATTCTGTGTGGCGTGAGACTGGCACAGGACTGGGCAGACAGGGGCTTGATAAACAGAATCAATGAAGAAGACAGACTGGAGTGGGCTTATGGACACTCAGCTGCTCAAGAAGGGTGCAGGCTGGCTCATGACATATGCCCTGTTCCAGGGATGTTTACACAACTGGACCCACGGGTACTTACCAGGTGGGTGGGGAGGGGGGGCAAAGCAGCCACCAGCTAACGGGTTCCCTGCAAAGGCAGCAACCAGCCCCTACCTACCAGGGCCTGCCCTAGCCCTGCCTCACCCGCCTCACCTTGGCCATGGCCACAGCACCCTTTTCAGTGAAGGTGTTGTCGTTCAGGTTGATGACCCGCAGCAGGGGGTTGATGGCGAAAGCCTGGGCCAGGGCAGTGACACCGGGGTGATTGATCCCATTCTGGGGCATGTGGACCTCCTCCAGAGTCCCGATGATCTGTGAGGGGTGGGGGGAGAGGGCAGAGGTGGGCCCCTGAGCGCCAATGCCCTCCAGCAGGTGGGAGGGCCGCACTACACACACAGACGCAGGGAAGGGCTGCTGTCAGCACGGGCAGGCGCTTGTCCGTGAATGTCCTGGGCACAGATCAGACCTGAAAGCATGCTTTTGGGCATGGCTGCACCTGAGCCTCTCCACAGCCTCATGAGGGAGGCCGACCTGGAATTAGAATCTCCACAGGACAGAGAAGACTAGGGATCAGAGAGGCTAAGTGACTTGCCCAAGGTCACACAGCTCTGAACATAGGTTTCTTAGTCTGGTGTCCTCTGTACTGTGGGGACCCTGGGCTCTGGCTCAGTTGTCAGCCATGACTCTTCTCTGCACAATGCAGCTCCAGCTGGCCTCTCTTTCTTGGGGCGCTCCTGTCATCTTTATACAACACGACTGGCATCCCACATGCCAGGGCCTGTGGGACCCTTGCAGCCAGGGGTCTAGTAAGCCACAGGCACTTCTCCCCTGCAATGTCCACTCTGCTTGAGGCAGTGAGCATCAACGGGTGGGTCGCCTTACGTGGCAGGACTGTAGGGGATGCTGCTCTGGCCTGAATACCGTTAATGCTGCTAGAATATTGTTTGCCAAAGAAAACATTTAAATTAAGAGGAGGGGGACAGACCCCAAAGTTCCCAGCCCCATGGGGGCAGGTGTGCTCCTCTCACAGCTCACCACCAGGGACTCAGCAGTGGCGGGGGGGGCAGAGTGGGGTAGGGAGGTGGGAAGGAGAACAGGAGATAAGGACACGCGAGAGCAGTTCCCCCAGCACCTGGGCCACTGCTCCTGCCCACCTCCCTGTCTCAAGAGCAAGTCTGCGCCCTGCCCACTAGAGGCCAGACACCCTGACTCGCACTGCTCAGGCACCACCACGCCTGTTTCTGAGCCGGCAAATGACACTCACTGCTGAGGGCAGCCTCCTAATCTTCTCCAACAGCACCCCAGGGAGCCGCTGCCAGTCCACCTGCGTGGTGGGTCATGCGGCTATTCAGACACGCACAAGAATTCCGCCCCACTGCAGAATGAGCCAGCAGGTTCAGAGAGGGGAAGCGGGTTACCTAACGTCACTCAGCCCAGTTCCAGAGCTGGGGTACACACTCAGGACTGTTGGCATGATGGGCAGGACAGGCAGAAACCACTCACTCCAAAAGCTTCTGCCAAGGCAGTGGCTCCATCGTTCTCCAGGCGGTTTCTGCCAGCCACGAAGACCTTCAGGGCCAGCGGCTTGCCTTGGGCACTGGATTTCCGGTGACACTCAGTCAGGGCTGCTGCCAGGATCTGTGGGGGGAAAAGAAAGGGGCCCACGCCTAGGCAGGAGGCCCTCTTCCCAGCAGGGCAGCCATGCTGCTAAACTGGTTTTCAGCATTCCACGCCACCCACTGGTGGTGAATACAGGGACAAAGAACTGCTCAAAAGCACACTGGTCACCCCTCACCTGTGCCCAGCACCTTAGTTTCCAAAGGGCTTTTACTTCCATTGCTTCATGTGTGTGTCCTACCACCCTGGTGGGGGGCGGGGGGTCAGCCTCGTGTTTGAGATGGGTGACTGAGGCACAGAGGGAAGGGAGAGACCAACACGGAGTGCCCCAGTTTAAGCTAGGTCTGGGGAAGCGGCTTCACAATCAGCCCCTGTCATAAGCCCTCTTGTCAGTGGGACCATCATGAACCCCACTTTCCAGCTGAAGCAGCTCAGGGAGGGACAGAAACTTTCCTATGGTCGCTCAGCAAGTGGCTACTGTGGAACACAAATCTTCCAGCGTCTCTTCCATGCACCCCAATACCTAAGGAGAGCTGGCCAAGGAGACTAAAACCTAAAACCCAGTTTGCCCTGTCCTTGGGGTGGTACCTGGAGGTAGCTTCGAAGCCTCAGTCCCTGGGCCTGCTGCATGGCAGTTGAGGTGATGATGATAGGCGGGAGACTGAAGCATCTTACAAGGATGTCTCTGGCTCTCCCAGCACATCACACTCTAGCTTGGGCTGGACCTGTTTTTTGAGCTGATGCAGACCTTTTTAAGTCCTAACACATACACAGCTTACTGCCCAAGACTCGGGGGAGGGCTAGCTGAGATGGGCGTGGGAACGTACCCCTGCTCTTCCTCCCATGGGGCAGGGGAGGCCACTCTGGCTCCTCAGCCTGGGCCTCAGCCAGCATCACACAGGCTCCTCTTGCTGCACTGACAGGGCCATGTGGATGCAGGTTCAAATCCCACATCCATCCACACTAGCTACATCATCTGGGGCCATCGACTCACGATCTCCAAGTACAAGTCGAGTTAACTGAAAAGCTGGGGACAGCATCACCCACCTGTGAGTGTGGGTAGAATTAAGATAACACATCTTCAAAGAGATGTCCCAATCCTTGTCATTTCTGTGTCCCTGCCCTTCTCTCCTCCTGATCAGAACAGGAGGTGAGGGGCTCAGAAGTGCAGACTGGCACTCAGCCTTTCTAGAATCTGGGCCTAAAGGAGCCAGAATGGAGCAAGAAGAGAAGAAACAGGTGTTTCCCTCAGTGCAGGGTCTGGGAAGAAAAAAGGAGCCTTTCAATGCTGACCAGCCTGATGGACTGGCAGGAACAGAGGCGAGCTGCACCACCTCCTCTGGGCACGCTCCCCACACGCACATGCCAGGCTTCATGTGGTCTGCCAGCTCTTCCAAGGGCACAGCAGGTTTAGGGACACCCAAAGCCCTGTGTTTTGCAGAGCCAGATCAGAGCATGTATGTAATACTGCCTCTGTGTTGCCAAGGCAACACATGAACAGGGACGGTTGCTTGGCAACTCCACCCTCAAGGACGCCATCTCCTCTCACCACTGGCCACAGGCTGCCACCTTTGAGGCTTTTCTCCTTTGAAGAAATAAACAACAGGCCAACCAACCGAGATGCTGGGTGGCTGAGAGCACATACTTCAGTGGCAAATGCAGCAGGGGACTGAGCAGGGAGGAAGGGTGAGGGACGATGGAGACATGAGGGAGGCCGCTGACCCACCTTGCCACCACCGATGCCCATGCCGCAGTTGTTGAGCTTGAGTTCGTGCAAGGTGAAGCAGGCAGAGCTCTTCAGCAGGGCCTCGAAGCCTCGCACGCCATCGGGCCCAAATGCGTTGTCACTTAGGTCCAGCTCCACGAGCTGGGCTCCGGCTGTAACGAGTCCCTCCCCTAGTGAGATCTGGGCATAGAGGGAGCTCGCATCAGTGTCACAGCCACCTACCAGCTGCTGCTTCTGTGCCAGGCCCACTGCCCTGAGGGGGCACCCAGCTGGTGGGGAATTAGCAGACACAGGCTACTTCAGTACAGAGCTGTCGTAGTATATACCCAGGACTGGAAACCCTGTAGAGGGCTCCTCCTTCTGCTAGGGCGTGGGGCTTGGTGCATGTGGGGTGGTCAGGGAAGGCTTCCTGTAGGAGGTAACATTTGAGATCAGTCTAGATGAGAATCAACCAGTCAAACATGAGGAGATTCCAGACAGCAGTAGAAACACGAGCAGAGAGACAAGCATGAAGCAGCACACTGTGTGCTGCCTGAGGTCATGAGGCAGCAGGAGCTCACGGCGCAGGGAAGGGAAATGCCAGGACGAGAGGAATAACTGTGTAGGGAGTGACATCCACGGTGGCAGCGAAACCAAGCAGCTCAAGAACAAACCCCAGGAACCCCTGGGCTCTGCTGTCCTCCCAGTCTCACAGGGCCCTTGAGTCCTGCTCACTCTCTGGCTCCCCGTTACCACCTGCACTCCCACCTGCCTGTCAGAACACGGCAGATGCTGTGCTTGCCTGGCTTCCGTTTCAGTATCTCAGTCACCCACAGGACGTATCTTAGTGTTCAGAAAGGAGGTGTGGGAAAAAGACCTGGGAACTGCCAAAGGCTGCCCTGTGCCCAGGGCGCAGCGGTCTCGCTCACTTACCAGGGCTGGCGGGATCTCGGACCGCAGCCTCCCTGTGAACATGTCGCTCCAGTGGCATCGCTTAGAAGGAAGAAGAAGAGTTAGCTGAGACCTTCAGAGGCGGCCTGTGGGCAGAACCTCATCTCATGAACTTGGACCACTGAGCACTACACATCAATTTGGGCTTTGTCAGTGAAAAGCTGGACTAGCTCTGGCCAAAGCTGGCGGGACCTGGGGGCCCCCAAGAGCCATGGGGGCTCAGCAGAAGTGTCAGGAAAACGCCTGATCTGTCCAACCCTCTGGTTTTCTGGGAGGGAAATTGGATTGAGAGAAAGGAGACTGGTCCCGGGCCCCACAGCAAGGCAGTGGCAGGTCCAGGACCAAGATGGCCAAGTCCTCTTTTCTGATGCCCGTTTCCCCCACGGTGTGGGCTACAGCAACATGTGATATAACTCTGGGTGGTAGAGGAACAGAAATGGAAAAGTATGGGATCAGGCAACGAGGGAGTTACTATTTTTTTTTAAATTGGGGAATTGGGGGGATGGGAACAGTGCTGGGGAATTGGGGGAAGGGGAACAGACAAGTTACTGTCATTTTGTTCTTCAGTCTAGTGGAGGACGTTGCTTCACTGGCCCAAGTTGGCACCATCATTGCGCTCTTCCTAGGTGAGGCAGATCAGTCGC